CTAGACATGTTAATTTCTGGACCTGTGTGAAAGAAAGAATTCCAAGTTTATATTCCCATCTTCTTTTGGGAATTTAGTGGGGGTTTGGGGGTTTTTTTAGATTTAAAAAAATAATTCCTATGTTTTAGGAGGAAGTGAAGTATTGGTAGTAAATCATTACTCTTAAAAAACCCCTTGTATTATCTGAAATGTATATAAAGCGTAAGAAGCAGTACTAGATATAGTCACCAAATAATAGGTGTTGTTTATTTACAAATTACAAATGTAGCTACTATTAAGACCCAGCTACTATTAAAATACCAGCACATGTGATTAAGTTTAGCCTGTGGCCATGATTTTTAAAAATGACAAGGAGTAGAGGAAGCTGTTTAAAACCAGTATGACTCAGTATTAATGATGTACTGTCTTTGAGTCATATGGGTTCACCTTAGGTAATTATATGGAGAACATTACAATGCAAATACATAAACTAATATCCGTAAGGAAAAGATTTAGGAAACAAATGAAAAATCACTAACATACTCTTTGCAATGTAATTTACGAAACAACATTTTAAAAACCATACGTTTCTAAGAAACTTATTTTGAAATATGTACTAGTTAACATTTAAAGTCTGAAGTCTAGCATTAATTACTTATATCAGACACAGGCCTGACTAGAATACATTTCAATCATAATCCTAACCCCAAATCTTACCTCAGTATTAACCCAAATTTAGCAACCTCTTGCAACTCCACACCTACCCAGACAGCTAGTACAGGCCAATAACCAGGCACTTCACGGACTAGCATAAACCCTAATTTTGAATTAATTCCAATAAAAAATATCAATTGATGGGACCTGAAATCTATTTTAAGTAGAATAAACCAGTGTTTCAGTTTAGTAAGACTTTGGGGCATAGCAATAAACCTAGATAAACAGGCTCTAAATTCTGTTTTTTTTATCCCAGTCCTAGCATTAGCTAGAGACACCAAATTTAATGAGAACAGAAGCTTTCTCTCCAGACTTCTCATCAGGAGAAAAGAAGAAATATTAAAAAATCTTTATTAGTATTCTTTTCACTGTAGGTCTATAAACTTCCTTAAGAGAAGTATCTAAAGAAACTATTTGAGAAATAAATTAAAAGAATATAAAGTATATAAGTATAGTTATGAAATAACAAGGGGGAGGGGGGAGAGGGGCAATAACTAGCAACAGGATGAGAGAAAATGGCCTCAAGTTGTGCCAGGGGAGGTTTAGGCTGGATATTTGGAAAAACTTATTAACAGAAACGGTTATTAAGCTCTGGAACGGGCTTCCCAGAGAAGTGGCTGAATCAGCAGCCCTGAATGTGTTTAAAAATTGTACAGATATGGTGCTCAGGGACATGGTTTATCAGTGGGCTGGTAGAGCTAGGTTAGTAGAGTTAGGTAAAAGGTTGGACTGGATGATCTTACAGGTCTTTTCCAACCCAAATGATTCTATGATTCTACAATTCTATGATTCATGGGGCAGATGAAGACACAGGAAAAAAAACAGACTGATTTTTTAGTTCCTCATTCTCTTTTTCCAAGCCTACATCTCCTTTGTGATAATCAAGCATTTAATTACATCAGCTACTATCTGAGCATACTTCTAATAAAATCTACAGGCATTTTCATTTTTAGCAAACATTATGATAATGACCATTCTTCAGTGGTCTGCTCCTTGAAGAGAGCAGGATTTAGACAGTGCAGGTCCTAGAAATCAGAAAAAGTGTTGAAGGGGCTGTAGGAAGATACATATAACTGGTAGAAGAAAACAGGCTGAAAAAAAGTAATTCATTAAAAAATTTGAGTTGTTTATGTGTAATCTACCTGTTTACTATTGCTGTTAGTGGAAAAGCAAACAGTAAAAATCTGTCAAGAAGCCAGACAGAACTCAAGCATGAAGTAGGATTAGATTGTTGCCCTGTGTAGTCAGTCATCAGCAAAGGCCTCTCCTTTGCTGCTCAGCTATTCAGGGTGGTTCTACATTTTTTCATCTTTCATAACAGAACTGCTGTTCTGAAGAAAGCTATAGCTACATTAGCAGATTTATGTTTGAGATACAGTCACCAAATTTGTAAGACAAAACAAAACAAAAAAAGAAAACAGAAGAGAGTAGGGCCATTACTTGGAGAAGTTGGAAGTGGTTACTTTGTATACAGGAAAGCAGACGGAAATGATGGTAAAATAAAACAGGGAACAGAAGGGAGACATGGAATCATCACAGTGTGAGGAAAATGAGATAGAAATGAAATGATGAAACATATTGAAAGCTAGGGAACATGGGGAAACAAAGAGGTTTTGCAGAGGGAGCTGGAAAGCACTTCAAAGGAATCAAAAGGAAACTCACAATAGTTTTGCATAAATAATTTAAACGTCATAGCAATTGCAAAGCACAAATCTATCTAAAATTAGGCTTCACTTTCACAGAATCACAGAACCACAGAGTGTTAGGTGTTGGAAGGGACCTCTGAAGATCATTGAGTCCAACACCCCTGCCAGACCAGGACCACCTAGGGCAGGTCGCACAGGAACACATCCAGATGGGTCTTGAAAGTCTCTAGAGAAGGAGACTCCACAACCTCTCTGGGCAGCCTGTTCCAGTGCTCTGTCACCCTCACAGTAAAGAAGTTTTACCTCATGTTGGGGTGGACCTTCCTTTGCTCTACTTTGCATCCATTGCCACTTGTACTATCACAGGCATGACTGAAAAGAGACTGGCTCCTCCTTCTTGACACCCACTCTTCAGATATTTTATATACATTAATAAGATCTCCTCTCAGTCTTCTCTAAACTAAATAGCCCCAGGTCTCTCAGCCTTCCCTCCTAAGGCAGGTGTTCCAGTCCCTTAATCATCCTTGTTGCCTCCGTTGGACTCTCTCAAGTAGATCCCCATCCCTCTTGAACTGGGGAGCCCAGAACTGGACACAATATTCCAGATGTGGTCTTACTAGGGCAAATAGAGGGGGAGAAGAACCTCCCTTGATCTACTGGACACATTCCTCCTAATGCACCCCAGGACACCATTGGCCTTCTTGACCACAAGGGCACAATGCTGCCCCATGGATAACTTGTCCATCAGGACTCCAAGTGTCAAAAGCCTTGCTAAGGTCAAAGTAGGCTATATACACTGGTCTCCCTGCATCTACCCATTCAATTACAACATCATAGAAGGCTATCAGGTTAGCCAAACATTATTTCCCCTTGGCAAATCCATGCTGGCTACTCCTGATAACTTCCTCTCTTCCATGTGCTTAGAGATGACCTCCAGAATGTGATGCTCCATCATTTTTCCAGGCAAGGCTGACTGGTCTGTAGTTTCCTGGATCATCCTTCTTGCCCTTTTTGAAGACTGGAGTGACATTGGCTTTCCTCCAGTCCTCAAGGCGCCTTTCCTGTTTGCCATGATCTTGGGAAAAGGATGGAGAGTGATAGGGCAACAATATCAGCCAGCATTCTCACCACTTAAGTGCATCCCATCGGGGCCCGTAGACTTGTGCACATTCAATTTACCCAACTGATCTCTAACCCAATCCTCACTGATCAGTGAAGAGTCATCCTTCCTCCAGGCTTTATCTCTTGCATCCAAGGATTCACAAGGGCTGGTCTTATGAGTAAAGACTGAAGCAAATAAAGTATTTAGTAACTCTGCTTTCTCTGCATCCTCTGTTACCAGGGCTCCCACATCATTCATGTAATCTAGAGGCTACTTCCAGCTGACTGGAGAAGGCATCATCAATATCTTCTTCCTGGTTTGGTGGTCTATAGCAGACATTCATAGTAGTTTTGCTCACATTTGCATGTCCCTTAATTCTTACCCATAAGTTTTCAACACGTTCTTCCTCCTGCCCTGGGTAGAACTCAATGCATTCCAGTTGCTCTTGTAGATAAAGAGCAACTCCACCACCTCACCTCGTTGGTCTGTCCTTCCTACAAAGTGCATAGCCATCCATGACAACATTCCAGTCATGGGAACTGTCCCACCATGTCTCAGTAAATGCAGTCATATCATAGCCCTGTAACCTAATGCAGTTCTCCAACTCCTTCTGCTTATTCCCCACACTGCGTGCAGTGGTGTATAAGCGTTTCAGTGAGGGAGTCAAGCACTTAGTTTTTGCTCTTGAAGGGTGGCAGGCCTTCTGATTTTCAAAAATGGTAGCATACTGCCCCACAAGTGCTTGGCTACTACACCCAGGGGCCTCTCTAGCATGTCCAGCTACTTTCCCCTCCCCCTTTTAAACCTAGTTTAAAGCCCTGTCAATCAGCCCTGCAATCTCTTGTGCAAAGACCCCCTCTCTCCTTTGAGAAAGGTGTTTCCCATGAGGTGCCAGCAAGCCTAGTGCTGTATAGGCCATCCAGTTGTCAAAAAAGCCAAAACTGTTGTGGTGACATGAGCTGCAAAGCCATGTATTAACAGACCGTATTTGTCTGATCATTCCTGTGTCATTGCCTGCAACTGGAAGAAGAGGCTTTGAATACATACTTGTTGTAAACTTGCTGTTGTAACTCAAAGTACTTAAATTGCTGTTATTTTGATTTCTGGGCATAGCTGCAGCTCAAGATATATATGAATTTTGTTTAAAACCACACTCAGGAAAAAAAAGTTCTCTCCCAGCAGATGATCAAGATAGACAATTCAGCTCCTTCCCCCTTGAAGGGAGGACACCTGAAGAGGGCTCTGGGAAGCAAATATTTATTTAGAGCTGAGCATTCAAGAAAACCTGGATGAAGACAGGTTTCCTCCCAAAAAAAAAAAAGCAGGGTAAGTTCTGCAACTACACTTTCTAATTCACATGTAGATTGACTGTGATACTGTCAGAGACTTTCAGATATTAGTAGATTGTGGTTAGTGACTTCTATAATCTCCAAAAAGGTCATACAGAATGCTGAAATGTTGACAAAGAAGGTAGTCAAACCAAGATTTTCTAAACCTCCCCCCACTCTGTCTTCTCCACACTCTTCTAAGCCAAAAAAGACACTTAGAAACATACTTACCAAGGCAAGTATAAAGACCCTGACTTATCCATGCTAGTATGGCAAGAGTGATAAGATCTCCAAAACTTGCTGCTATAGGAGTGGCAACATTGTCAGGATTAATACCAGTCTTCTTTGACCCAACAATAACTCCAACCATTATTATTCCTAGAATCAACAAAGAAGACTGTACAGTAAGCATATCTACTATTGTAGCTCCACAGAAAATTCCAAGATAATGGCACTTTCAAACCTGATAAAAGAGAAGGCAGTGCTTTTGTCCCAAGATGATGGTTCTTCCCACCTGCCTGGTGTCTTTTTTTTTTTTTTTAAGTTTTAGCCATTTTAAAAAATGAGGTTACATATTTTAAAAATACAGTAAGCATACACACAGACAAATGAAGAAGCATCTGTACAATTAACTGTTTTGTTTATGATTAGAATCAGCACTATTGAAATTATAAATAAGCCATTTCCTGAAGAAAAAAAAATGCAATGTATTATTTCTACACCCTATAAATTTTAGCTAACTGAAATTTAAATTACATTAGGCTGAAAACAACACAAAATTAAATATGCTGACATCCGATACTATGCAATATTTCCAGTCAGACTTAGCATAAAAAATCAAGAAGTTACATAATAAATTAAAAACTAAATAATATATTAAAATGTTACTTGCCATACAGTTAAAACATTTTAAATTGAAGATGTTTTTTTCTGTTTTTTTCCTATAAACATTAAGAGTACCTTTTTAAGAGGCATTTCCCTGCAGAATGCAAGTGTTTACTAAAAATAAATGGCACATTGTTATTAACAGTCCTCTTTGGCATAACTTAAGTAATTTCTCTCTCATTGTAAAATACCTGTAAGAGCTTCAACTGTCTAAACAATTCTATATGTTACTTCAAAGAGTTTTTCAAACACTGGTATTATAATTTTCAAGTATTTTAGCATTATTATGTTTTGTAGGCTACACTAGGAGTTCAGTTTCAGAGAAATTGCCTAAAGAATTACACACCATTAAATTCTCAAAAGAAATGATTCTGTAGGACCACAATATTTCAAAAGAACCTGTTTCATGTGTAGGAGGATGAATCTTAGAAAGTAATTTCCTGTGCTGGCTCATCGCCAGATAACAACAAAAGTTTCTCCTGATGTTCAAATTATACATGAAAATGGAAAAAAAATGCATTCATGTTCCCCAGTTCTCTTACTGCTCTTAATTCTGCACATGATCAAACTCAACAGCTTTGTAGTCACTAAAAAAAGCGTGTGCTTTTACTCCATGCGAAGTGTTAACAATTCTGTAATTTTCGCATAAGCAAGCATATCAAATTAGTTAAAAAGAAAAAAGGGACATTAAGCATTTCACTTGAATTACTATTATTAAGACTACTGACTATGTATTTTCATTAAACACTTCATAAGTAGAAGTACTTTTTATCCCCCTACCGTTTTTTATGTTTAAATGTTTCCTGACAATTGGGAAGAGATAATCAAATTCACCAGGCCATATGGCTCCGGACAGATACTGGCACTCTGTGCAGAGGGGGACTTGAACATGGCCCAAATGCTTCACATAACAAGTCAACTCATTCATTTCAGATATAAACCAATGCACAAACCAACACGTAAGCAGTATGGGCAACCAGGAAGTTTGGATTCACCTGAGCTAACATCCAGGCTCACTTGAGCTTAGTTACACACTTGAGTTTAGTACTAAGAATATAATTTGTATAATAATAAACATCGAAAGCAGGGAAGAAAAGTTCTCTATCATATTAGGTAAAATCTAAACAAGAAAATTTTTGTTGCAGAAGGTCATGTAAATCAAACTGTTTCAAAGAATATGACAAGAATGCAATACACAAGGTCTGTTTTTCTGCATATTAAACATGCAGACTGCAAAAGAGCATCCTATCCTCAGCCGTGTCTCAGATGAATTACCTTACTGGATTTAAACTGTTAAGGAATAGTAACATAACAAATTCAGCATCTACAGAAAACCAAATAAGTGTAAAAAGTAACAGGCTCACTCCTTTTACCTTGTAAAAGAGAAGCTATGAAGGCAGTTGCTACGCTGCTAGAACACAGAAGGATTGAGTGATCGAAGCGGTATTTGCCCTCTGGAATCCAGCCCAATATAACTGCTGCCACTGCTGCCAGAAAACCAACTACTGTTGCCTGAACCTGGAGAAGATGAACAATTCTTAAAATTGATAGACATAAGAGGACTACAAATTTGTTTTCTGTTTTTCTTTCCTCCTATCTACATTTAATTGCAAGGGGTAAAGGGAGCAGGCTTATCCATTTTGTAGAGGATGATAACCTTGGATGACCAAGAATCTTATGCCAGTAGAAAAGGCCTTACCAACATTACAGAGACTCAATAACAAAAGTAAAATAAGGGAAAAAAAGCTGAGGATTTACCAGGAACCAAAGCTTCACTTAAAAACATGAAGTCGCAGCATAAGCATTTCACATATTTTTTGAGAATGTTGTATTATGAAATATGAACATGAAATACTTCTTGATCTTAAGAAACAGTTGCTTTGGAGAACAAATGCTACTTTCCTCAAATGAACCAGCTATTTAAAATATTGCCTATTATCCAAATGCTCTATTACGTGTTTCCTTTAAACACTGAATCTAATGCAAATATAGCACTAAAAACATTTGAGAAGTCAAATTTAATAGGTTTTGCCAAATCTGAATTTTTTCTCTAATCATCCGATCCTCTCTCAAAAAACTTGGAAAACTAAGTATTCTTGGTACAGTAACTAAGAATACTTTACCTCTTCTTGTGATAAATACAAGCTCGTATTGTGTTAAAGAATTACAGTTGTTAAAAAAAATTACTTGTGGAAACATGGTTGGTTAAATATAAGCCAGTGTAGTAGACTTAGTTTGCCCTTAACAAGGTCCATCTCCACACTTCCCAAGGCTTGTGATGGACTTTTTCAATAACTTATATTTATCCTTATATTTACCTGTTTTAAGGCCAAGTTGCCAATTATTAAGTTCCATTTCTCAATGGGAGAATCCATTTTTCCAATATTTACCTGTCAAAATTACAAAATAATTTCAGACATTTGGCTTTAAAATTGTATTGTTTGAAAATGTACTAACAAGGCATAAACCCACAAATAATTCAACTCATACAAAAAAAGAGACATTTCAAAAGCAAGTTAAAACCAACTTTTTTTCAAGTCAAGTATTGCTGTTTATTTAAAATTGTACTTACACTACAAGTTATGAAAAACAGTTAAACTTAGAATCACAGAATCATAGAACGCCAGATTGGAAGGGACTTCAGGGATCATCTAGTCGAACCTTTCTAGATACTACTATAATTTATAGGAGATGTCTCAGCAACCTGTCAAACTGAGACTTAAAACTGTCCAGTGTGGGGGTATCTACCACTTCCCTTGGGAAACTATTCCAACGTTGACTGTCCTCATGGTGAAAAATTTACCACTTATGTCCAATCAGAATCTCCCCAGGAGCAACTTGTGCCTATTATCCCTTGTCTTTTTCATGTGACTCCTTGTAAATAGGGAATATCCATCTTTAAGTACTGGAACATTGTAATAAGGTCTTCCCGAAGCATTCTCTTCCCAAGGCTGAACAAACACAGTTTTCTCAGTCTACCCTCATATGACAGCTCTTCTACTTCTCTGATCATCCTTGTAGCCCTTCTCTGAACCCTCTCCAGCCTGTCTGCATCCTTTTTCTATAGCTAGAACTTGACACAGTTTTATGTAGTAACTGGTTTAACATTAGTTTACCATGCAAGATCTACCAGCCACCTTACACTCCAGGAATGTCCAAGCACCACCAGCGGTCAGATCCATGGCTGAAAGGGAAACTTACCAGTGTTCAGTGACTTTAGATTGAACCTATTCCTATGGCTCTTAAATTCTAAGACCCAAAAGAAAAGTGTATAGATACATGTGGGTGTGGACACATATATATATAAGTCCAGTCCTAAGGCAGAAGCTGGAAAGATAGCAAATAAATTCTTTTAAGAAATCAAAAAGAACATACATACATTTTTATAATGTATTTCCTACTTTTATTTATTTATTTATTTTTGAATTAGAGGATAAGATCTGAAGAACAGTACTTACTGCAGTATGAGTGTATTTAAAATAATTCCCCTTTTGAGATAACTGAATAATTTTACATGTTAAACAGAAATTTCAGTGTTGTTTTTTTTTTCCCATAGAATACTAATTACTCAGCACACTTATCAAAACACGGAAGGTATTAATGCATTTTTTTTCCATCTTTGGATAATTCCATTCCAGTTGCTTTTACTTCCATTTCTTTACCCCTTTGAATCACTTTGTCATAGTAGTGACTTGCAAGGAGAAAAGTATTAAAAGAAAGCTAACTTAAAATCTTAGAAATCTAATAAAGACACTGTCTCTCAATCTACAATATAAATATTTTACTGTGTTCAAAGTACAGTCCAAGCTCCACAAATACATGCATTAAAGATAAATATTACAGCAATATTTAAGCAAGTGCAGACAAGAATTTCCTTTGCATCCTTCTTAAATATATAAGATAAATATACAAAATGGCAGGCTATGGAGAGCTTCATTCTTTTTCTCCTTTGAAGAAGCTTTTTGAAAACTATCCAAAAAATGCCTGTGAAAACAGTAATCTTGCAAAATACTTAATCCAACCTAAAAGTGAGCTGCTGCCACATGGCATAGGTCTTCTCTTCCCTACTATCAGCTACAAATTCCCATTTTCCTTCTTGAACCACATCTACCAACTCCAGGAGTGAGTCCATGGCAACATAAATTTGCTTGCTGGTTTAATGGAAAACACTTTTTTCTTGTTTTCAGGGAGCAAAAAGGGCTTATCTTCTACCAAAGGTTCTGATCCACCACATGCAACCATGTAACCATGCACAAATGTTCTTAGGATTTGGAAGAGAGAAAAAGAGCAAGACTACTCCTTTCAGCTGCAGATTTCCATAAAGTAGGAACAAGTTTATTGTGATACTGTGGAACAGATGGACCTAAATTTCTAATGCCTAACCTTGATAAGACACAGTCAAAAAGAGTCTGCATAAATTTGCAGGGATGACTGGATAAGTGTTTTGTGCTGTGTTTTGTTTTTTTTTTTTGCTTTCTCTTCATTGAAAAAAGAAAAAGGCATAGAGAGAAAAGGCCATACTGCAAACCAAGACAACAAGAGTAACTCAAACTACAGAACAAAGCTGAAGAATACACAACACACAATATAAATATTGTACTTGAATAGGCAGTTGACCTCAGTCCACCTCACACAGTTGCCAGCACAGCAGTGGGGGAAGGGAGAATGGTTTACATTAACACTAAAGAGAAGTACAAGCTATGTCATGAGGTAAATTAAAAAAACTGTCCTGAGACATATTTAGTGAAATGACTGCTACTGAAGTGGATGGGAAATTGTGAGTGACCAGTAACAAGCAGCCAAAATAGGAATTTGGGCAAAAAGAGGAAAGAAGGTGATCAGACAAAACTTGAAACCAGATATATTACGGACAACATAAACTTTCTAACAAGATATTACTTTTTGGCTGACTACATAATTACAATGGAGTAAAAATAATTAGTTTACAGCCCCAAGAGCAAAGACATGTCTACAAATTCAGATGAAATTATAAGCTAACAGAGCAAGAAGGGTATGAATTAGCTCTAGAGCTGAAATGTGTAGAAATTTCCTCATCAAAAGTAAAGCTGTTCACAGGGGCACAGTCTTGCATTTAATGTAAAGACAGTATCTGGTGGGGAGCCAGCTACTGCAAATGTAGGTCAGAGAAAGGAAAACTAATTATACAACTGCCTCCGAACAACTGTTAGGATATGCCCTGAATTAATATACTCCTTCAGTTTTAACTTAGGATGAGGATGACAGGACCAAAGATTGGATGGCTAAAGAGAGCCGAGGTCAATGAAATCAATGTGAAGAGTGCAAAGGTTGGAATAACCTCTTTCATAGAGGTCTCAGAGAACTGACACATAAATTGCAGGTCCAATAGCAAGCTTTTCGATTAAATTCTCCAGTAAAGAATGATACAATATGGCACAGTACCTGTTTTCAAAACCTAGGGGATGCAAAGCAATCAAGGCAACTAAGCCCAAGTTGTCACTTTTAAGAAGTTACATGTAATAGGTTTCCATACTTTTTTGGTTTGTTTTGTTTTTTAACTAACAAACAGAAACAATACTAAGTTCTTGTGTATTTTCTTGCTTTTGTAGTTGTGCTGAGGGCCACGTGGCTGGCTATCCACCACCTCCCAGAGCTGTGCACGTTGCAACTGGTGCAATGCATGAAAAAAATACGTAAGAAAATGTTAGAAGGCTCTTTGAAAGTTAGAAGCCATTTTTTCTGGTCTTTTTCACATATAAAACCTAAGCATAATCTTGTTAGCATTATCTTGGTAATGTATCATCTATAGTGTTCTTATTTTGCATAGTATTGTTCTCTTAGGCCTCCATGGTGTTGTGCATTGGCGCATACACACACACACACACACACGCACACACACACTCTACAACATTTACTGATGAGCTCTGCACCAGCTAGAAAAAATTAGAACCACTACTGGCAAAGGAGAGAATCTTCACTGAACCATGACAAGTCTCTTCATCCTCCCTGTGAAGGGTATCCAATGAACTTACAACATGACTAATGAAGTCCCAGGAAGTATTTCAGTCATCTGTGTAACTTAGTCCAGGGTCTGTCATGATTCTCAAAGAAGACAGATCATACAAGGAAATTCGAGGCATTAGAGAGTAAACAAACAAATAACAAAAAAACCCAACCCAAACAACACAACTCTGTAAAAATGCAAATCTGGGAAGTAGCTTGGTGCCAGTGGTGCTGTGATGGTGGCTTTGGGCAATGCCAAAGAAACTGGAGCTCCCACTTGCCACATAGCATTTTCTGAAGAAACATACACTTCACTGCCCTCTTTGTAGCCAGTTAATTAACTTTCATGGTGAAACGACATGCACAGAACCAGCCAACATGATTTGGCCATGACAAACATACAACAATTTCTGCTACTGCGGAGGAAGCTGTCATGGCATGCTTGAGTAAAAACCTTTGAAGCATCAGCTGATTTATGTCTTGGTGAGACTTAATGACAGTGGTAAATGGCACTAGTTACAATCCTCAAATTAAGCCCTCTGAGATTGGGCTGTTGTTTCAGTCTTGGTAGGAGCTTTGGCTTCAAATGGAGAAACTGGCTCTGAAAAAATAATGTTCAGGCATCCACCGAAAACTCTAAATTAATGGTATATTCTTAAGGATGCCATTTTGGGCTGTGGGGAAATTGTGTGAACCTCGTGATGCTAACTTTAGTTAACCACACACAGCCAGTGTTGCAGAAAATTCAGTACCCTTTTTCAGTGTTTATGAGAGGCAGATCAACTTCTTGACTTTTGATACATTTGATGGTTAATGTGAACCAATGCATTCCAGTGCACAGTGATTCCCAGTGCACAAAAAGGGTTTGCATGACCCTTTTCCAAATGTCCACTGCAAGATTCACAAACAAGATAGCAGTGGTTAGGATGGAGACATCAGCTACTAATTGGTCCAGAGAAGAAATTCTGGAGTCATGATCTGACACAGGTCATAAGCTCAACTGAGACAAAAAAACTTAAAGATCTCATTTACTAAAGCAGAAGTGGTGGAGCCGATTCTGACTTTTTTTGAGCTTTCAGTAAGGCACTGGTAGCTCTTGGACTTAATGTATTTTTCACTATGCAATGCAAGCACTTTCAATCCTCAGGCCATGAACTGTACCAGTCAGGAACAAATCAAGCAACAGGTCAACATAAAAAAAATAAATAAAATAAAATAAAAAATATTTTTAAAAAAGTATTCATGCCTGACAGTAAAGGCAATAAAGTTCAAACACAAAATATTGTTAAGAAACAGTAAGAATAGTCAGAGAAGTAAGAGCATTAAAATCAAGCAGAAAACAAGACTAGCTTAGACTGTCATTGATAATGATATAACAAAACACATCAATTCTTACACATGAAAGAATGGATCTGGGGCAAAAGTAATCAATGGGAATGACACAAGCAAACCTTCATAGAACTGTTAGGGTTATGTTTGTCATGATGTGAATTTGGGCAATAACTGTATAATGCAGCAGTTAAATTTATTAATGACAGAAAACTGGTAGACCTTGTCAGTACAAAGCTCTGCGATACAGTACAAAAACTGGTTGACCTTGAGGATTACAGCAAAGAAACAGATTACATTCAACTGTAGAAATGCAAGGTCATGCACTTATGGACTAGTAACATTTCTGCCAGAAGATGGGAGTGACAGCTGGAAATAACACCAAAGGACAAACACAAAAAGGACACAGTCATTGATCAGAAAGGGACTGTGAGGTCTAAATCTGACACTGCTAGGAAAATAAGCATACACAAACCTAGAAAGTTTCAAGAGAAATTTGCAAGAGAAATAGGAAAGTGTTAGTCTACAAACCTATAGTAAGGTCTCATCTGGAGTTACATACACCTTTGACCAAACGATTTCTAGAAAGATTCACTCAAGCAGGAACAGGCAGAAGGTGGAGGGCCTTGATGGAGAATGGAAAAATTGTCTCACAAAGGAGAAACACTGCATTAGGCAGTATCTTTGAAATACCTAGTTCAGGCACCAGAAATAGTTTAGCCATGTTATTTGAACTTTCTGTTCACTATAGTCACTCACACACACAAAAAAATAAGCTGTATGGTAAGGTAATCTGGCTCGCTGAGGCTAGAAAAAGGAAGGGATGGAACTATGACAACTATGTAAGAAAGAAGACATATAAAAAAAGATGTTATGTTGTTATGTTATGTTATGGAGTTGACATGCACAAAAAAACAAGCAGACCACCCCAAAAAGCCACCACAAAAAAAAAATAATAAAAATCTAAGGGTAAATTTAGACTAGACATTAGGAAGAAATTCTTTACTGTGAGGGTGGTGAGACACTGTAACAGGCTGCCCAGGGAAGTTGTGGCTACCCCATCCCTGGAAGTGTTCAAGGCCAGGCTGGATTGGGCCTTAAGCAATCCGGTTTAGTGGGAATTGTCCCTGCTCATGGCAGGACAGTTGAAACTAGATGATCTTTAAGGTCCCTTCCAACCCAAACCATTCTATGATTCTGCTTCGCCAGAAAGCAACAAAATAATTTCTTACAGTTGATCAACCAAAGTCTGGAGTAGCAACATTAGCAATGCTTTATTTTGGTGCCACATAAATGGTCTTTAGAAAACTGTGTTCAAAGCATGTACATTTTGTTAGCCTACTCAAACTCCATCAAGGGCAAAGAGATCTGCTAACCTTACAAAATGCAAATGTAAATCTCAAAAATCTATTTTATTTTTTCTGAATTATGACTCAAAAGTGACCAAAGAAGTAAAATTTTTATATATGGAGATTACATAGAGGGTCGCCTTTCTAACCTTGCCAATTTAATAACAGGTTTGAAGAGTTTTCGTAACAGCCAGATTAAGCTATAAACTTGTGTTCCAAAGACACGTTTCCTTTTCAAATATATCTGAAGAGCAAAGGGGAAGAGAGAGTTACTTACAGCAGTTGAGAGCCGGGATGCCAAGGTCATTTCCAAATTTCCTTTGAGACCAAGAAGAGCAGGAACCAAGATAAAAACTTCAGTAACATTCTTGAACACATCCCAATGCTATATATAAAGGATACAGTGGGAAACATTCAATTGAAAAATTATCTTAGACCATTTGCAAAGTATTAAAAAAATTCTGCAACTCATAACTTAAGCCCCTAAAAAAAAATAAATCAATCTTTATATATTAGACTGAAATTAGTAAAGCCAGAACTGTTATCTGCCCAGATAAAAAAGATTTATGACTGCATATTACTACTTTAGAGATGAGAGTACTAAAAGTAAGTGATATAAAACTTGGCATTAGAACAAACCTAGTTAAAAAAAGATGTCATTAATTTGAAGTCTTTTTTCCCCATGACTTTAAAATAGTACCAGGTGCTATGACTGCTCTTAATTTACAATAAGATTTTAATCTTCTCCCTTCCAGCTGTGTAGAAACCTCATGTAGAAACAGCAAGGAATTAGTGTTCAAATGAACAGAGCCAGTAAGTGAAAACAACTTACCTTTATTCTTTTACTTCTAAGTGTGAAATTTAGAAGAGTATAGTTTTCCAAAACCCAGATTTTATAAAGCAAAGACAAACTCTTCCATAATGTTTTGTGCACTGAGTTCTCAGCACCGAAATGCTGTGCTGCTTTGTATGTCTGTCAATCCATATCTTTAATTTGCAATCATTTACCAAACTAACAAAATGTAAATTATCTTTGTATTCATGGATTTGCAATAATTTAAATATTATTGTAATCAAAAGAAAAGGAGTGAATTCTCAAATTTCAAGATCTGAGAATTTCCCATATGCCAAGTTATATATATTACTGGGAAAGAGTAGTCATGAAATTGTGTGTAAAAAACAAGCTTTGGATGTTTGTTGTCTTCAAATTTTGATTTGAAAAACATGTTCTGTCACATTTCAAGATCTTGATATCACAGTTTAATGCTTAGTTTAAGGTGAAAAAGATAGTACAGACATTAGCTATTTATTTTTGCTCTCACTCATTCATGGTGAGCTGGACCAGGAAATCGAACAGTTTTGAAAGAAAAATTAAGAGATACCTCAGCCAAGCTCAAAAACCAGCTATACAAACACATTCCCTTAACAGAAGGAAGGCAAGATGAAACATTTAGTTGAAAACCAGTAGTGGCAGCAGCAACAACTGCCTCTTTTGGCTGACCACCATGCTGCAGCACACAGTAAATCATAAATTAACAGAGTACAAACAAAGCATCTGTACGAAGAATAAGTTGGCAAAATGAAAATGAACAAAGCACAAGATTGGTGTAAAACGGAAAAAGTAAGCAGTAAAATTTGCACATCGACTTTTATCTTCATTTTTCTTGATGTATAAAAGTGTAATTTCACTGCAATTAACTGATGTCCAAGCTTCCTTTACACTGTCAAGATTTGTGAATGACAAAGATGGTCACCTCTTACTCTTCTGTAAATGAACTTTGTAAACTTTGAAGTGTAGCTAAAGAAAACCCTACAGCTGCATGAAACAAAGGAAAACAACAAAACATTAACTTTTCTACTGTATTTCAGTTTGACTATTGTTGTTATTTCATATTTTTGAATATTTATCTGTGAATCCACTCATACAGGGAGAGAGAATCCATGAGGTATGGAATTACAAGAAATTTCTGTTTTTCTAAAAAAACATAAATTAAGTAGGAAATACAAATAAATATAGTCTTTGAAATGAAAAAAAAAAAAAGAAAGCAAGAAAATAAGCTAGTCCAATAAATATTATTTTCTTCAGAATTTTCTTCAAATATCACTGCACAAGGAATTATGCAATATTAAACAGTTACTTTTAACTCCACTGAGATGCTGCTGAGACCTACAGCTGCGTTAAGCTACAAACCAGTCCAAAAAATGTCCTGCATCAGTAGGACTTTAGGCATGTAATACTCCAAAACAGGTTTTAAAAATATTATGAAACTTAAGTCTCAAAATTCAGATAAAGTTGTTTTATCTTAGTCACTTACACCCACCTGAATACTCAAAGAAGTTCTAAATAACTTCATATTAACTTCATATAACATAGGAATGTAATTTACATTTTTGTATACCATATGAATTATAGTGAACGAAATCTATACCTGATTTCCAAAATTTCAGACTTGAAGTACACAAGGAGATAAACTAATGCAAGACATTATTCTAATATTTTTTTCACTCCTATGTATTGCAGCTTCACAGTTAATTCCAGCTCCCACTTGAGTATGTATACATTTATTAGCACCAACAGAATTTTGAACCATTACTATATTTCTATCCTTAGTTAAAGGAGAAGGTAACAGTTTTATTCACCAGTTCACTGCGGCTAAGTGACAACACTTACAAAGAACTGAACAATTCCAAATTATACATTGGAACTGTTTAAGATGAGTTCATAGCAGCAAAACTACACACAGACCCAATTACTCCTCCCTATGTAAACATCTATAGTATAATGCATTAGAATTATAAACCTCACACACTGCCTGTTAAATAACATCTTCCAAAGCAAATACCAACCTGTACAATATCCAAAACCATGCCAGCAGAAACAGTTCCAAATCCTGCTAGCAAAAAAGGTACGAGTATCTGTAATGCCATAATACTACTAGATTCTTTGGGTTGTTTCCTACTTCCTTCCACAATGATGTCTTCATTACTGTCACTAGACAGGTTGTCTTCCTGCAACATGGCATCTGTTTCTGAAGCGTCCATTCCATCACAGTAATTATAACTGGAAAAATCATCATATTTAGGGCTACAGCTAGATGGGCTGTGTCCGTTACTACCCTGAAAACTTGATTCTGAGAAGTGATGGTACTCTGTGTGTTGTTCAGACCTAACATTAAAATTGTGTCCTGCTGGTTGTGATCCATCTTGCCAAACACCGTTCACTTTTTTGTGCCTTTCATCCTGGTTTACTTGGTAAACAACAGGAACCATACTCAAAAGCAGTCTCAAAAATTTATCGGACTGAATTGTATTAAGATTTATGGTCCAGTTTACAAAACCTTCTCTGTCATGAACTTTGCTATTTGTTTTGGAGATGGTTGATCTGCCTTTACAGTTAGTCATAGTGCTACAGAAATACAGGTTGAAAAGCACTTTGTTCTTCAGGTTCCAGCAAAGAAATCTTGTAGATGAATCATCAAGTGCCAAACTGGATTATTTTAAAAGAGATAAACCAAAAGTATCCCTTTTTGCATGCGAGAATGTTTTTTCATTGATCTCAGATCTTCAACAATTCCATAAGCAAAACTGGATCTGAAGGGAAAAAAAAAAAAAGGTATTTATTCAAGCATTAAAATATTTTAACTCTACAGAAGATACAAGATACTGGTTTAAATTTTCAGATCACCCACTATCTTTCCAAAGCAAGTATTTGTAAAAATATCAATCTCCTCTAACATTCAACTGCCTAAGTTGAAAGAAATTAGAAGTTAAAAAGGGAAAGTTGGTGGGTGAAGAAGTTTCACAAGCCCGTGTACATTCTGGTGGGAGAAAGAGACAGCAATGTGAACTGTAAGCAAATTGGTGAGAGCTTTTGCCTTTTTAAAGCCCAGAAAGTCATAATCTTCAGGCAGATACTGTGTGCAGCCCTAGACATGTAGAGGTCTTGAAAGCTGCAGGTCTCCAGACAAACGTATTTCTGCAAGGTGCAAGAGGAAGTGCAAATGGAACCCACACGGTGCACTGTGGGGTCACTGCTTCTCTTCCCACTCTATGCTAATGAGAAGGAGCATGGGGAAAAAAAGGAAAAAAATCTCCCAGCCTTCAAAACTCTGTCAGAGGTGGTAAACCCAAAGCAGTATTCTGAGTAGCAAAGGCCTTATGCATTGACAGTCCCTGCCCTCCAACCTCGTAGAAAGATAACAAACCAATACTGATATGTACAATTCCAAAGCATGCTAATTTAAAATCATGACAACTGATTTTTCTCTGAAGGAAACAAATTATGTTAAATATAAAGAGCTACTATACACATAATAAAACCTGTGATATCAAGGAAAGAAGGCAGTAATAAAATTCAGACCAATTAGTCTAAAATACTTTAAATTAGTCTAATATGAAAAGAAATCTAAAGTACTGTATTCATAAATATGACATACTAAAATGCAATTAACATTAAGGGAAATCAATGTTAGGAGGTAGGTTAATTAAACTAAAGGTACCAAGACACTTATTTTAATTTTGCATGAGGTGTAGGTTGGCAAATATTTCCTGAAAGACAGGTTGTTCTGATGTGTAATAACCACTAAAACATAATCATTTGATCAATAATAACCCTAGATTTGGTCATTTGGCTCTGATTTCTGCAAATCATGCAACTACAATTTTTTATCTTCTATGCTTATTGTAACCTAATGTGCATTTGTTTCTATTTTAAAATTGCCATCATGGTAGAAAATTAAACAATTATATATTTGCATTGTCCTGTAATTAGACATTTCCTCCATCAGAAGCCGCTTTACCTTCTCAACTTTTCAAGTTGTGATAGGTTATGGTAATTTACTAAAAGAACAGTCTTAATTTGACTTGAAGGTTTGTTGACTTTGGTATTTATTACTAGACTCTATGAATACAAGAAAATGATTGGCATAAACAAAGAAACAAAGGTCAGGCAGACTACAGCAGCATGTGGCATAACACAATTCCACAAGCTCAAGACACTGTGCCTGTGCAAAGCTGTGAAAACGTATGTTTACAGACTGCGGGAAATAAAAATAGTTTAAGTTTGGAGGATTGTTAATCCATGCTTCCTAAGAAAATTTGGCTCCTAAGATTATACCATTTATATCACGTTCCCTATACTTTCCTTCCCTCCACTTCAGTGTTTCTAATTAATCCAGTATTTCGGGTGCAATTTCAGAGAGATTTGACAGAGAGTAGAGGTGTCAAAACTTAGTAACTAACAGCCTTAGAAGAGATCCAGACTTGTGCCCTGGCTGTAAGGCATCTCCAAACATTGGTTAGGACAATTCACTCATATGCAGCCACAGCATGTTCACTTCAAAAGTCCTGCTGTTCATTCAGTTGTTTTCATTTTTTATTGAGTGAAGACATGACTTAGACACAACCTGAAGATTTTTCCCTCTACCAATTGCTTTATTCAAGGGAGCTCTGACCAATAAATTAATATTTTTTAAATGACAGTGGAGTTTATCGCTTGATTCAGAAAGAAGTTTTGCAAGATAAAGCAATCTTTTTCCCACAACATCACACGAGAAATTAAAGTAACCAAGACTCCTGCAATAACTTTTGCCATTCTGTAGCAGACTGTGCTAACTTGAACTTTCCAGCATAAGTGCAGAAAAACTCCTAGGCCTCAATTCTGTCTTCTGCACACTTTAATTAGGAGTAACAAAAAAACTTTTGCTGCTGTCCCAGAGCTCTAACCACAGACCAAAATGACTAAGTGCTACAGAAAGACAGAACAAGATGGAATTTTGTTTCTTCTTGGCCCGAAGGTGGCATTAACTAAGTAAAAGAAAATAAATGGTACATTAAGAAAAAGACAAGCAGAAGCAGATGTATCATTAAACCAGCAAACTATTACCAACTTCTGTGACAACAGCAAAGAGCTTTATAGAAGGATTAAGAGCAGCACGAGAGAACAGAAGCTAACAGAATTTGAGGAAAATTACAGTTTCAGGAAGGGTATAACCTATAGGGTGCTGGAGGCTGCCAACTGATTTATGACAATGGGAAGTGGCACGCTACTTAGGAAGCCTGCAGAAGCAAAAGCTTTGGATCACTTCAGCCAGCTGAGTTTCAGCTGGTCACAAGAAACATCTAGATTATAGGAACTTTATGACAGAATTCAATAATGGGATGTAAAATTAAGATGTAAAATTGTCCGTGATGAAAGACACATACTGAGACCCACAGCAACCTCACTGGGTTTTTTGGGGGGTGGTGGTATTTTTTGTGAGGAGAAGTAGAGGAGTAAAAAATGCAGGTTTTTGTTTCACAGGGAACTACCTGGAGAAAATTGCCCGATAGCTTTAACATGCAGAGTCTGAGTCTCGTTGTGGTTTCTCCAGTAGGTTCTTCAGTCACATCACCAGAGTGCTAGACCAGTGACTCATGGAAATTATTCATCTCTAGAACTCCAGCCAAAAATATTTGGATTAATTATTCATATTTTTCTAACATATGGAATTTTATCCTTTCAGATTTTTACTATGGGTTTGTTGTTGTTTTTTTAAAGAAAAAAAAAAATCTTTAAGGAAAATTGTGGTTTCATTGAAAACGAGAAAGTGTTAAAAAAAGAAATGGCATTTAAAAAAAAAAAAAAAAGAGGAACAGAAAATTTTTTTTGGTTGGCATGGACTGCTAACAGCTGAAATAGTACAGAGCAGTTTGGATGACAGTTACTTTTGTTTTTCCTACCAAAAAGACTTGGAATGACAAAAAGTGAGCTAACGATAAATGCCTGAAAAATGAGAACTCAGAAAGACTAATTGAAAAATATCCTATACGGTGAAGAGTAATTACTTCCTCAGAGCAAACAGAGAGGACATAACTATGAAGCCTTCTGAATGTAACTATTCATTTCTAAAAACCTGTTTCAACCAAGATAATTTTCCAAATGTCATCTGATGCAATAATTTTATCCTGAGTTACAGGATGCCTAATATTGCTGTATCTTTAGGAGTTGTTTGATGGTTGTTTTTTTTTTCTCTAGAAAATGCAACAAACCATCTAAGGAACAGTATTACCTCAGGGACAAGAACTCCCTAAGAAGCTCTAGCATTGACTAGAACAATGCCAATTTTACTGTGATTTCTAGTAAAGGTATAGCCAGTTAATGCACCGAGCTCCAGTAACTCACATGATGAAAAGGAGGTTAAAAATCTCAAAAATCCCATCCCCATTTTCTGTAGGAAGTGGATACAAGTGAATGTGGTTTCATGCCATATAATCAGGACGTTACAGAGAAAGGTGAAGTACTAAGAAAAGAAAAATAAAGAGACAAAGATCCTCCGAGAAGCCAGGAATCAGCCTCAAATTCATTCTACTTGGCATGTTATTTATGAAATGAAAGGACACTTTGTCCCTACAAGCAAAATAATGAGCTATGCCCAGACCATGAGTTTCCACTTCTTTTTTGTTTCCTAAGTACCTATTTTTAATAGTTTCTTCTTTTCCTTCACACATAAAAGTTACTGTTTTGCTTTCTTTCTCAATGCTGCAAATATAAACAAGCATAAACAAATAGTCCTGCAAGCATACACAAATAGGAAATATAGCCATATCCTGCTGTTTGCTGAAAACATGTTCCTGAGAAGTGAGACACTGCACCATTTGACAGATTAACAAACCAATTTTCCCCATAACAATTAATACAATTCATACACAGAGCAATTAAAAAAAATACACACAGAGACAGCAGATGCAATGTGGAAAACGGACAAGCAGAAGCAGATGATGTGGAAAATAAACAGGACCAAGAGCTGGAAGAGATGCTGACTTTTGGAAATGGATAGATGCTTTAGAAAAATCTCAGATACCTCAGCTCTGAGGCTGAACACCTGACCATTATCGCATTATTCCTTCACATTTGATTGGTTTTGATTTATCTGACGAAGATGAAAATAACAAAGAAAATGTAACTGTTCGTGAAGAAGAAGGAAAAACACCCTTTATTACTACCCAAACAAAATGCCAACATTGCTTCAAACATGCTCATGATTCTGTTTTCAAGAACACGGGAAAGAGATGCTTCTTCCATATTCCTCTAGGAACATCCGGTACTAGCAGGATTAAGGGACTGGATTCTACAGCTAAATTTGACCATTTAATGATTAGACTGCTGATAATCTATTTAAAGCATGAAAAAACAAACAAACAAAAAAAAAAAAGTAGTAATTAAATCACCATGCTTTTTTAAGAACTTCCAAAGAAGGGGAAAGGGGAAGACGTGGTGAATCATTGAGTGTGAAACTTTTGTAGAGTCAGCATTATGACAGGCTAAACCAAGTATTTGTCTAAATCTAAGAAAAGTAAATTGTTTCAGAGTCTAGCTAACAAAACCAAAAGGTAACACTTACCTGAATAATACTGAGGGCTTTTACCCTCAGCAATCTAATCACACTTCAGTCAAAACTCATTTTTCCTAAAAGCTGCAAACATTTTAAACAGGTAATCTTTCAAAGCAAGAATAACTTCTAGGCAGTCTACAGTGAAACACAATAGCTCAAATATGCCTAC